CTATGCTTTGTATTTAATTAGAATATCTCTGACATTAAAACTGATGAAACATTTAAGTGTGTCACAGAAACTTAAACAGAAAAAATCTGTCGGTTGACGAGGTCGGTTGAGGACTCAAATGCAGAGATAATGGAGGCAGGGATGAGTTTTTGTAGGTTTAATCCAGTGTCAGACCAACGCATTTATTTTTTCTTCTTAAAAGCAAATTGCCAACCTGCCTGAGCTTAGACATTGTCTGTCCGTCCTAGATACCACAAGAGCCGCTCTTCTGTGCCCGACCAAGAGAAATGTCACTTTTCTGTATGTCCACACATATGTGTATTCCCTCCATCCTTCCCTTTGAAACCAATCCACCAAATGTTAAAGCTGACACCGGGTGACAGTTGCACAGTAGTGCTGAAGGGAGTAATTCAATAATGGATGCCATTTCTAATGTGGGAGTCTGGATGGATGAAATATACATGGGAGAAGGGGGGGTGGGGGGTGATATCACTGTAGCACAGTGGGAGGTCATAGATGGTGAACACTATAATATCATATAGAAGATGGAACTCATGTCAAGGCTGTTCTACAACATATTTATCTTTTAACCTTGTTTTTGTTGCCTTGCCCGCCCTGACTTTTCTTCAACCAGCTAAATAAACAACCGCTCACTCAGTTCAACCCACAAAGGCTCAACCAAAGGAGGGGCAGAGAAAAATGGAGCAGCAGCCCCCTGCAGAGGAGGGAGGGGGCGCTGATTGTGAGCCTCCTGCTCCAGTCTCCCTCATGTCTGGCTGTGACATCTGCCACCCCACCACAGAGGTCGCAGGTCACCAACAAAACCTACTAAACTCACGCTACTGTCCACTGACAGCAATAAGAATCCTACATATGGGTGTCACACATTAGGATGCACACATGCAAAGGTACCTGGATGGGCAGTTTTACACCATGATTCTCTGGCTTCCATTTCTAAAGACACATTACTCCCTGCTATGCTGGTTAAAGCAGCAAAGAGACAAGAACTAAAATAGTGAAAGGGAGACATTTTGATCCAAACTGGGTTTTACAAGATAATTTTTTTAGAGCAATAAAATATGATTTAAAATTAAACATTGGAGCATGTTCATAAATCTAAAACAAAGTCATTATTTAAAAAGATTAAAAAAAACAAAATAACTCATCAGTGTCCCCTTAAAGCTTATGGTGGAGCTGTTTGCTCTCTGGAGGAGCACAATTTTCAATATATACCTCAATAGAATAAAAAAAAATGATATATTTAAAAAGGATGGTATATATATGTTTTTATATTTCAATATAAATTAGTCTATGATTACATAGAAATAATATCTTAATTTCAGTCAGTCAGCATTTGTCGCTGGCTGACATTCTGGGTTTTATTTATTCAAATGTTTTATCTTTAAAGCAAATACTTTAGAGGAGTTTCATAGAGTAAAATTGTAAAATAATTTTCATAACTTCATCAGTCTTTCTAAGTTCTTTTTTTATTTATATTGATATTTAAACTATATTTAAACAACCAAAAAATAACTATATTGTGATGTAAGGTTTGGCTATACAACCTCCATACAAACCGTCCCCTCACTCAATGATTATTTCAGAAATCTGGGAGGATTTTGTGAGTAGCTTAATGTGCTATTAATAAAGTGGATTTTGTTCTGTAGAACCAACAGCACTTTTTACTTTCCACTACGGGCTGTTCTCACTTTTTATTGCCAGTGGTAAAGACCTTAAGAAATGTCTGTTGTTATATTTAGGTGAAGGAAAATCTACAGTGCTTCACAAGTTCTAAACAGGATATTTTACATGGTTTTTAAATGTCACATATTTAGTGATGTCTCATGAAAAGTTATATTTAAGTATTAACAAAAAACTAAAGTGGTGTTCCCATGTTGTGTGATATTTAGGGCCGCGACTAATGATTATTTTTTTCAATTAATCGATTAATAATGGGACAGCAAAAGGTTTTGCAAAGGTATTTTTTACAGAATTAAACCAGGTCAATCTGAATTTTTTCCATTTGTGTAGTTTTGCTTAGAGCATATTGACAGATGAAAAAGTTTTTTTTTTTTTTTTTATCTTAAATGCAAAATATTTGTGTATTTTTTACAGTTTTCTTATAATTACTGCTCTAAATGGTTCGCTCTATTAGCTAAAGACGATTTATTGTTATGATTATTAATTATGATTAATCTGATTCATAGTTTAAGCTCTAGTGATATTGAATACATTTATATTAAATATATATATATATATATATATGCATTGAAGGAGTAGGAATGAGTTACACTTTTTTGCTCAAACTTGTCCAAAAAGCTGATTCAGATGTAGCTGTTTTATAGTTCTGGGACACTTATTAGAGAACATTAGTGCTTAAACACCATAATGAAGACAAACAAACAGCAGACAGGCCATCTGGAGAGATGTGGAGAAATATGACAGAGAAAAAACAATATTACAAGCTCTGACATTTTCACAAAGTTCAGTTCAATGCATCATCTGAAAATGGACACTAAATAAATCTGCCCAGAGACATATGCTGCATAAACTGACAGGCAAGGAGCACAATCATCAGATAAGCAGCCAATCCCAATAACGTATGTGAACATTTATGTCTTAATGTTTCATCTTTCCAAAGATACAAGGGGAACGACTACTTTTGCAAGGTGCCATAAACAATTATCACTGTAATGCCAGAAGGAATGGTTGAAACACAAATCCAAAGTTTTCATTTTCACCCCGCCTCATTTTAGAATGGGTCAGAGAAAAACAACTGTCCCATTAAAAGATCTGTTAAGACAACATCAAACACTCACACAGTAAGTTTATAGAGAGAAAAACAAATAAAAAAGAGCAGAGATTAATATGCATTGCAGAAACCTCTCATGCATCTAACTTTAGATGAATGTGGGATGTTTTAAGACTTTTCTGGATTAGTTCTCATTAGTTAGGTGATAACAATTTTGACAGAAGCAAAAACAAATAAGGGATTTGAATTACAGAAGTTCAAGTTAAGACAAAAAAACTTAATAGTCTCCAAATTATATTAAGCAGTGGAAAAGATACATATAAAGAAATCCTTTTAAGGTTGTTGAGCTAATTTCCTAGATGCTTTTCAAAGCATGACAGAAAAGGCATAGCGTTTCAGCACCATGGACAGATACTCAGCCAGCCTTTTTTTCCTATTTCTAACAAATGCTCCTCATTTCATCCGTTGTAGCTCTGAAACTTAAACTTTTTTTCTACCTTAAGTACCACACTTAAAGCCATTCTGTTAAAACCATATTTCATCCAGACTCTCCGTTCTGAATCATAGAAAAAACATTGAATATCCAACAGTATTTTAAATGAATTTGTTAATTGAAGCCAACATTATCTCCCTTTCTCAGCCAAACATCAGACGCGTCATAAAGCTGGAGCAGAATGCTAACAAGTGGATTTAAAGATAAACCTGGGAAGGACCTGCCAGCTGATACCAATCAGAAGTTTGAGGGATGGGATGAAGTGAAAAATGAATCTAAACTCACACAGTTGCCTGCTATCCACTGAGACATATTGATCGATGCGCTTTCTTTAACTAATAAAAGACCCTTAAAAAGGCATGTGTTTGCTACAAAGAAGAGGCTGCAGGTCCCGCACTGCTGTGTTTTTCCTCTCTTCCTGAACCCCCTGACCTCCTTCATCCAAACAGGTCACTGAGGTGGCAGCGCAGCTCTCCTGCGGCTGACTGTTCATCGCACGGCTCATTGGTGCAACAGATTGGACGCCAGAGGAGAGCTGTAAGCGAATCGCCTCACACAAAGCTGAAACATGGTAAAGCTAAAAGACATGGTGCTCCAAGCACAATAACCCCACCTGACAATGACTTCTTATGACTAAGTATGACAGAGTGCTTCTTTGGGGGGAAAAAATGTTTTCATCTGTAGCCAAGTTTGTATGCTTTCTTTTTAATAAAGCAAAAGGTACGAAAATTGGAGACACACAGGAATAATTTGGGGAACAATCCGGATCCTTTTTATAAAAGACATAAAAATATTATTTCTTAGATGAAATGGTTTTAAATCCAAAGGGGAAAAAAAACAAACAGGTTTATTTCTATCAGACAGAGATGCCTTTTTAGAGCGATATGTATGAAAGTTGTTAGTTTTGATACATGTAATAAACAGAAAAAAAATGTTTTGACCTGATAATCAATTATGAGAATCAATTAAGAAATATATTTAGTAATTCTGATCTTTAGCTGATTGACTGCTGCATCTTTAGGCTTAATATTACAGCAGCAAAAAGAAAGAACGACTGGGATAATCAAGCCACAAACTAAATGTTTGAATATTAATCAAATGTTAACTATTCCTACCCAATCCCAGGAGTGTTTTTTTTTAACTAGTTGAAAAATATTGTGCTAAAAGAAAGTCTGCATAGGCCGCTACTTTATGTCATTCTAATTGTACCTGAGAGCTGCAAAACCCCTTATACATTCAAGTCCAAATTCTCAAGAAAAACACTGAGGCATTTTCTTTGCCCCCAATAATCATTTCTTATCGGAGACTATTTTTTTCAGCAAAAATCAGAACAAGGACTAACAGATGCAAAGCACACATAAAATCACCTCCATTGTTTCTGAGCTTCCTGATGCTAAAAGCAATTATAGTTTGAAGTTATATGAACAAGAGAGAGGAAAACAGCAGAAAAAAGTCTATTCTTTTAGAGCCATGGCTCAAAAGCAATGTCTTCTGCCTTAATAGCACTTAAGCTTCATAATATTATGAAAACAGGGATTTGCAATATTTTCTGAGAATAAGCAGAATATGATAAAAGTAACTGTTGTGATACAAGCTTTGGTACCACTTGTGTGAACAATTGTACCTTGTGCTCTGATCCCCCTGATACAACAATAAAATGACTTTACATGAAAAAAAGAACGTTTTATCCTAAAGATCTTAAAGACACAGATCATGTATGCGGCTCAAAGCAGAAAAGGAAAATATCAATCTTACCTGCTACTTTTACGAGGCAGAGGTAGATCCTTCTGGTAAGGAAGACAGATCAGGGAAAAAAGAGGAAGAAAAGGGGGGAGAGAGAACAGGAAACTCAGGTTAGATCAATTTCAGATAAGCAGATAACAGTACCTCAGGGTTACAAGAGGAACATAGTGGATATCCTTTATTCTGAGTTTTAGCAATTAGTTATCTAACTTTCAATAGACATTTATAATAATCATTAATAATTGCACTTTATTGATCTCACATTGGAGAAATTTACCTCTGCATTTAACCCACCCCCTTGGGGAGCGGTGGGCTGCCATTGTGTGGCACCCGGGGACCAGTGTCGGGTGTATATATATATATATTTATCTGGAGCGTCTAACAAAGGTTATTTCCCTCTGGGATTATTAAAGTATGTCTGATTTTGATTCTGATTCACACCAGTGATTTCAATTTTTCTTCTGTACTACAGAGAGCATAATTTCTGAATCCAGGTAATAGCGGATTCAATAAGGAAAAGGGAGTAAATAAACAGAGCCTATTTCAAAACACATTGACTGCTCAACATGCTTTCCACTAGAGCCACATCCATACACTGGCAGGAGGGAGCTTGATTCAGACTGAAAAAACATCTTCTCTGCCCATAGAGCCACAGTTGCCCTCAGACAACAATTAAGAGTAATACACCCATTCTTTTGTGTAAGCCTGTCATCTATGTTCAGAGAACTAATGTAAAACCTTTGGCTTGAGACTATGATAGAGAAAGTGTATTAAAACTTCTTAAATAATTTAATCTTCTCAGTAAAGCACATTATTCTCAGCAATGTTTTTGTCATAAACAAAGGACCTCACTGAACCTCCATTAAGTTCAGCTCCAAAGCTGTGTACAGATGGGGCAGATCATTTCTATTTCTATTTTGATTATCTGCAGTAAAACATACTAAAAATATGTCTGTCTTTTGGCCTAATAACTTCTGTCATTCTCTATAAAAAGGAAAAATAATATTTTATAATGACATAATATCAGAGTTAACATTAAAAAAACAGACTCTAACTAGCATATGTCTATAATATTTGTAAATCAATTAAGCTGTCAATTGTTTTTTCAATTAATAATCAGATAACAACAGATTTTTGTGAAATTTAATCATGTGAAAGTAAAACTTTTAGACTTGAGGAGTTATGGATATAGCATATTAACAAACAAAAAAGATTTTTACCTTAAATGCTAAATATTTAAATTTTTTTATACAATTTTGATATTATTACTGCTTAAGGCTCTGTCAGCTAAAGGCACGTTTTAGTCTCTATGCTCCAGTTAACTTATATAACTGGGTCTAATAAAAGCTTTACAAATATTTTCCTAAGGTCTCAGAGCAGTAAAGTCTTTCATAAAAAAGTGAACTGGAAATCACAGGATGTATTTTAGAGCTTAGATCAATTCCAACTTAACTTCATTCTGTGGTGTTTTTAAAAGTCTCCATTCATGTCTGGAGTGGCTGAAAGGCCGTTTGAAAACTGATCCCTCCTAAGTGCTCAGAGACTTCAAAGCTTCAGGAACCAGCTGGCTGAGTAGAGCCGAAGTCAATGGAAAAATTGTTGTTGCTATATTTATGATATTGGGAAACAACAGCAAGGACCCTGATGTGATTAGGTTCTGCTGTGATGAATCTCTACACTGCTTGCTGTCCGTCTGTTTGTAATCTTAAACCATCCATTGAACATTCAGTTTAGATAAGGTCAGATTACTCACTTTCTATTGTCAGCCTGCCATATTTTACTTTCCAAGGATAATTTATGCTGCGTAACGGCTTTATAAAAAATATGGTAATGTTTGGTGTGTTTTATCTCTCAATGAGGGCAGTAAGATTACAAAAGAATGACTGTAGTATGAAATGATTGCAGAGAACAAAGCTTAGCAAAGTCACAAAAATATGAAAAGGAGGTAAAATAGACAGAATATATTGATGTGTATGAACGACCTGGTCCAACCCTATTTCCCAAACATATTTAGTAAAAAAGAATGAGAAGAAAATTTAACACTGGATATGAGCAGATGGTTAAGACCCCAAGACTTGGAGCTGTAACTGCACATTCAGTAGAAGAGGAACCCTTCTACTTCTGTCTTAGGGCCTCTTTTCATAATCAATCCCCTCTCCCCTGGTGATATACCTGGAAAGCATGTCATTGCACCCCAGTTATGTGCAGATGACACCTCGCTCCACCCTCCTACTAAGCCTGATCGAACACTCCCTCCATCTTCTCTTCTTGATGAGAGTCTGAGACTCATTTCTCCTTCCATGCTTATAGAAATAACATTATACAGTCTGCTCACTTCTATCTCGATAAACTCAACTGTATCCAAACCATCCCTTATCCCTAGGAATACTGCTATCTTGGTTAATGCTCTTGTCACATCTTTGTCACATTGCTTTAAGGCTTTATTATATGACGTACCAAAAAATATCTTTCCATGCTTTGATTGGCCCAGAATCCTGCCTGTATTTTCCCCAGCACTCCATCCATGCAGCATCTCTCACAGACCCTAAAAAACTTCATTACTTTCTATTACGATCCTGTACTAATTTTTAACATCCAAAGCTCTCCCTTACCATGTCCCTCATATATCAATAAACCTATGGAAATGTATGCGTCTTCCCAAATGCTAAGGTCTCACTCTGCCACACTTTTATTCACTCATTACCAGGTTATCAGCATGATTTCAACATATTTCAGCAACATTGTCCCTCAAATATGACATGTAATCCTACTAGATCTTCTTATAGTTTCATCACTAGTCACAGTCAAGACTCAAAACACACGTTGTTGAACTTGCCACATTCCACATCATCTTCACATACTAATGTTCCATTGTAATTATAAGTGTATTCACTCATCTAATAGTATTATCTGTATCTCATTCCTCGTTTTTGATGTTACTTTATGTGTTGTTCAGAATGTAAGGTGACTTTTTTTTATAAATCATTATTTGACCAAAAAAATTCCTGTTCAAATTTAGAAACATATTTTTTAAGAGATATTTTTTAAGTAACATATTACGTTTAATACAAGATTTGAGACCTCTACGTCATCAGTGTCATAGTTTTTTCTTTTCCGAAACCCTGATGTGCGCAATGAATCACATGCAGTGAAACTTAAAATGCTTAATATATTGCACAAATATGCTTATGGTATCACAAATGATACAAATTAATGCTTTTTCAGCTGTCAGAATGATGAATGCTCTGGTTTAAAAAATATATATATATTTTTGTTTAGGCTTTACCAGATTAAACGCACCTATAAATTAAAAAAATTTAAATTGATATTGTTATTATTGACTCAGAGCTTCTAAAAAAAAGGCCAATTTATTTTGGTTTTCTTTTCTGAAATAAATGAACAGTGAATTCAAATTTTTTTCCACCTTAGCTTCATAATTAAGCTCTAATTTGTGTAACTCGAAAATAAAAACAAAAGAACAAATGTATGAGTTCTTATTGTGAGAAAATCTGGTAAAGTTAGTGAGGTATGTACACTAAAGGTAAACTTAGAATATTCTGTCTTCACAACTGTTTCATGTTTAACAATGTCTTAATTTTTAACCCCCCAAAAAATAAACATGATGCTGTTTGAGTTTTGCAAACCATGCAATCTCTTCCGACTGGCAAATGAAAAAAACTGCAAAATCTTGAAGAGAATAATAAATACTTAGTCGGCCATAATGTTTTTAGAAGAGAGCATCGACCCTTTTTTTCAATGAGGGTGAGATCATCTGTTATGGTGAGCTCTTTCTGGGATGCTAATACACTACATCATCAAGAGGAAGTGAGCTTGGCCAGGGTGACTCAGAGAGAGCCCCATAGGAGTCTTCAGTGTGTATGTGTGAGTGTGTTTGTGTGTGTGGATATGGGGTGATATGCCCGGCTAATGGATAAAGCCGCCAACACCTGCTCCCTCTCAAAGTCTGTCCAATCCACAGACATTGTATGCTCTGTTGCCATGGTGCTGGTCATCGCATCATTTCTAACATGTCCGTCAGAATTCAGGTAATAAAATATTGCATTAAAGTTTTGACTGCTTTGCTGAAACTCTCTGAATCCCTAACATGACAGTATATAAGAATCCTACAAGAAAATAAATTTACTACAGCTAAAAGGGTACATCTGGACATCCAAGTTGTTAATAGGTCATCATATTATTAGTATTCATGACTTAAGCTACAGTGACACAAGTGACAGATTCTCCTGTCATATAACCATATAAACAGTTGTGTGGCAAAGATGAAGGTCAATAGATTCCTACTCCCTGCTTGTAAATCATTGGTGGTTTTTTCCAACGACCTACAGCTTTGCTTTTTGAAGCACTTTGTATGATGGAAAATAAATACTTCTTCAGCAGCATCCTGTTACAAATCCTGTCATAATTAGTGCAAAAGGTGCATCATTCACCATTGCAGTAGTGGTATCCCTTACTGATTCAATACCTGTCATGACAGTAAAAGTAACATTAAACATATCTGCAAATATTACTCTACATTACATACTTGTTCATAATGAGGTCAGATAAGGTTTTCAAATGAGAATTTAGGGAAAAAGCTATTTAAACCTGTCCCTAAGTAAAAATACTATGGCCTCCTAAACCTATTAACTGGTCTTGCCACCTTTGTTTGCAATAACTGGTAATGAAGACTTGTTTAAATTGAAGTATTTCAAGAACAAACAGTCTGTTTGAGGTAACTGTATAAAATCTCAGATGCATTTAACTCCATGCTTTGATTAGGCCACTCCAAATACCCAACTGTTTTTTTTTTATTTTGAGCTATTTCAAGGTGGGCTGTATAGTACTGCTCTGAATCAGCATAAAACAAATGTTCAATTGAGGCAGGTA